TGTTTCCTGCCTCGTGCTTGAACCAGGCTAAATGTGGGAGCATCAACTGCAGCAGTAGAGCAGAAACACTGCAGAGGGGATTTGTGAGAGAAGGGGGGAGGGAAAGTTTAGGATGCTCAGGATGCTGGTGTGAGCCTGCTCCAGCCCCCATCCCAAAGGAGGGTGGGATGGCCTCTCCATCATTCTGAGACAATGAATATCCTCTCCTTGGAGCCTCAGGCCAGAAATTCAAGCCACACCAAAGCTGCTCCGTATGTTCTCACACAAAGTTCACGTTTCAGCGATCAAGTGGGTTTGTTCCAGAAGAGAATACAGGGATTTGCTGTTGACTCCAGCCTGACTGAGGTTCCACTTGTAAACTGCCTTAAAATCTCTGGCACTTGGCTGCAGTTCATTTCTCTCACAAATCCCTGAGGTCATGATTCAACAAAACAATAAATCCAGCTTAAGGGCTCCTTGTGCCAGCTCAGAAGTCATGACACAGAATAACATCGCACACAGCACTGCTCCACAGCGAGCAAACTTGCCTATTTGAATGTATTAAAAAGTAATGAGAAGTTTATGTTGGAGCAGAAGTCTCTGTCCTAATGAGGCATCTCCTGCAGCTCCTGCTCCAGTATTTTTACTCTGTCAGAAGTGGCCTGTCCTCCTCCAGTCAGGGAAAGTGAGAGTGAGTGCTGTGACCTGCACTCTGCATTTCACCATAAGCACGGTCCAGAGCCAATGTCTGATCCACATCCAGAGGGGATTTCTGGCAGAGCAGCAGAGCAGAGCTCTGCTATTATTGATCCCAAAACCAGGGCCTTGCCCAGCAGCCTGGGAAGAAGTTTGGAAAAAGCAGGAGAGCTTTCACAGAGGCACTCAGAGAACATCAGGGCACTCATTTCTCCTGCTCTTCCCATCAGAGAAGTCAGCAAAGCTGCGAGGGCAGAGAATTCTTCCTGAAGCACAGAAAGAGTCCAGTGAGATATCCCCAAATGGGAAAGCAGCTATGAAACATTCCAGCTGTGGTAGAACAAGGAGCTGTTCCTCCCCAGCCCACCCTGTGAATATTCCCTCAGCTGGGCCCTGCCAAACATGCCCTGGTGGTAAATGCCCGAAGTCAGGCCTGAAATAATTTAAATTCTTTGTCCCAGCAAGGAGAAGCTCAGCAATTCCTGGAGATTCATTGCTAGAAGTCCCAGACTGAGCTCCTTTTGGGAAATATGATTGATCCCTGATAGCAAGTTTGCTTGAGTTTTCTGGATTTTTTTTTTTTTGTGGCATTAAGCCATCATACATTTGCCTTAACTATTTCACCACTTTGTGTGCTGTGTTCTTAAGTCATTAATTTTATTATCCATGGGCACTTTGACTGACACAGGTGAACATTTCACACCAACTGGGCACATTCTTTGCTGGTCCCTGAGCCATGCTGCTAAATCCTCCCAGCTAGAGAAACAACAACTCAAACATCTGAGGTCACATTCACAACAGCCAGAACAATCCCGCAGTCTCTTCCAGAAAACAAGGAATTGCAATAAACAAGGGAGAGGCTTCCCAGAAAGTCATTTCCCAGTGAGCTCAGTCCATCCTGAGCTGCAGAGAACTGAAGCAGTTTGTGGCAGCTCTGCCAACCATCCCCGATGGAGAATGAGCAGGGGGCTCTGCAAATCTGGAGGCTTTGAGTGATGTTTTTAGGGCCAGAGTCCATTCTGGGCTCTGCTGTTATTTGCCTACAGCTGTTCTGGTTTTGTAGCTGTTACGTTTAATCTGTGCTGAAAGGGAAAAAATGGAAATGAATTCGTTAGTGATAGTGCTCGTTGTTTTCTTGCACAGTTTGTGTGCAGAGCACACAGCACAGTGCAGCCCCAAGGCTTCACCCACTGCAGGAGAGCTCCAGAGAGGAGCTTTCCCATGCCATAACACTGACCCCCTGGAGCACACTGGCTGTTTTGTTCTGCTCAAGCCAAGGTCAGCAGGCAGATAATCCTAAAACCTTTCCAAAAGCAAACAGAATTAAACTCTGTAACAAAACACAGTAGTTCAATTTCTTAGAGTCAATCAAAATCGCAGAACTCCTGGAGTGGAAGGATTCCTGGCAATGAAGCAAAATCAGAGAGGCAGGAAAATAAAAAAAATAAAAAGAAGAGAGAATGACACTTCAATATGTAGAATAATTACAACCAATATTTATTTATTTTTTTAAGCGAGACAAATGGAAAGGAAATATTACAGAAACATTGGGATGGTCAAGATCCCATTGCAGCCTGCAGCTTCCTCCTGGGGGCAAGGGCAGACACCGATCTCTTCTCTCTGGACTTGTGGCAGGACCCAGGGCTGGAGCTGGGCCAGGGCAGGTTTAGGGTGGAGATCAGGGAAGGTTCATCCCCCAGAGGTGCTGGCACTGCCCAGGCTCCCCAGGGAATGGTCCCAGCCCCGAGGCTGACAGAGCTCCAGGAGGGTTTGGGCAGTGCTCCCAGGGATGCCCAGGGCAGGATTTTGGGGGGTCTGAGCGGGGACAGGGGCTGGACTGGCTGACTCTTGTGGCTCCCTTCTAACTCAGGATATTCTTTGAATCTCTGAAAACTGCATCCAAGCTGATTGTACTTCCTTTGGAAGCCAGGTCCTCTAGGATACCCATATTAACACCAAATTTTGGGGTCTTGAATGAGTCTGTGATCAGTAGTGAAAACAGTAGCCAGGAGTAGGTATTTTAGAAATTGCCATGGAGTTATTGTCATGACAAATCAGCAATGCCTAGTGGGTGACACACCTTCATATTAGTACCTCTAATTCATCCAAAATGTCCTTTTTCTGTTCTTGCAGCGTGCTAGAAAAAGCTGTCACGTCTTGGATGGGATTCTAATTACTAGCAGAATACTCAGTTGTTGACAGATTCAGCTTCCTGTTGGAAATAAATGTAAACTAGAATAGGAAAGCTGACCTGATCCAGCTGAGGTCTCTTTGAGGTGAAAAATAGAACAATCACCGGATGCAGGTAGATAAAATTTTTCCTATGGCACAAAAGATTCTGTGGGACGTGCTGATTTTGCAGAACTAAAACCTTTCCCAGGGGTACATCAATTCAGTTTAGCAGGGAAGAAAAAGAGATAACTTGAATAGTTTAGATTTTTTTTATAACACTTGTTATTCATTAACAATAAAAGGAATGTCAGCGGTAAGGAAAAATTTCTTATACATATGCAAACAGTGTATCAAAATCAACACAAAATGGTTTGGTTCTTTAAAAAAGTATTTGGCTTTATTGTAAGCTTCACAATTTTTGTGTTTTTGTTTTTATTTTCTCTAAACAATGAGTATTTTCTGAAGTTTTGCCTGTGTTTAAAAACTTTCATGGTTTGAAACACAGGCAAAATAGACTAGCCAATATACAGTAAATAAAGAATATATATCCTATTGTCCTTTTATCTTGTGGGTGTAAGGGGCAGAGCGAGCAGGGTGATGAATAAACTGCAAAGACTTCCAGTTCCTGTTTTCTGCTGCTTTGGGCTGTTGGACAGCGCACGAGACCTTGAGCATTTCTCACTTTGTTGATTTTCCTGCCCCTGAAGGGACACGAAAGGCTGAGGGTTCCCTGCCTGACGCAGATTGCTGGGGAGAGAGAGGCAGCAGAATCACCCTGGTTCCACAGGCACACCCCTGCTCAGGGCACTCACAGGCCAGAAACAAACACCTGCTGAGGGCAGGACTCAAAATGCTTCTTTCTGGCTTTTAAGAAAATAAATTCTGAAGGCTGGAGAGAACCTGCCCAAAATCAACATGACAAATCAATTAATAGCTCAATTACCCAAGTGCCTTACATGAACAAGGACAGTTCTCCCTGGTACAGAATAAAAGGAAAGCCCCTACCAGAATGGGATTATGGGATTTCATTTATTATTATTATTATTATTATTATTATTATTATTATTATTATTATTATTATTATTATTATTATTATTCAAAATTATATTATATAATATATAATATATAATATATAATATATAATATATAATATATAATATATAATATATAATATATAATATATAAGATATAAGATATAAGATATAAGATATAAGATATATTATATATTATATATTAAATATTAAATATTAAATATTATATATTATATAGTGTATATTATATATTATATATTATATATTAATTATATATTATATATTATATATTATATGTTAAATATTATATATTATGTAATATTAGATATTATATATTGTATATTGTATATTATATATTTATTATATATTATAACAACTTTAGATACAATTATATATTACTAATTATAATTCTAATATACTATAATTATACTGTAATAATATAATTATAATTAAAATACATATAATTTATAATTAATAGATAGTATATTATACAATAAAATATAATAATATAATAAGAATATATAATGTATATAATATATAATTAATAGATAGTATATTATACAATAAAATATAATAATATAATAAGAATATATAATGTATATAATATAAAGAATATAATAATATAAAGAATATAAATATAATAAATTTAATATATAAATGATATAACTATTTAAGTATTATAAATACTATAAGTATTATAAATATTGTAAATAATATAAATAATATAAATAATATAAATAATATAAATAATATAAATAATCTTCTGCTCAAGGGAGAGGTATATTTAGACACACGAGAAGGCACCAAGAGAGGATTTTCTGTTAGAGTGGAGCAGGCAAAGCAGGTTCCTCTGTTCCTTACCCTGTCATTGCCTCTGAGAGGAGCAGGAAGGCAAAGAGAGGAGCCGTAGCACGGGCTCCAGCTCTTGTTCAGGTCCTTTAGCAGCCAGATGAAGTTGACACCACCCTGAGACAGGTCAGAGTAGGTAGGAGGACATTGCAGGGTCAGTGGGAACGGTGTGGAACAGAATAATGTAATTCAGGGGTGTCCAGCTGAGGCTCAGTGATTGCCATAATCACATTTATCACACACCTCTGCACTGCTGTGTCCTGCACCAGGGAGAAGGGGACTGAAATCACCCAAAAGGGGCTTTCCACATTGAAATTCTCTTCTTCTGCTTCCTTTGAAGAGGACCGTAGGTATAGCATTATTTCCACCTTTGTGGAAATTTTATCTTAAAAAGAGTCTTATTAAATAGTGTCCTGCTGGGATTGACTTACAGAGAGGGGTTATCTGAGCACTCCAGAGGGCTCTGAAAATAGAAGAGGGAAAAAGCTTCAATGAGGAAGAAAATACACGTCTGCTTATGAACGTTAATGTGAAACATCCCAGTGTGTTGGAGACACAGATTTGTGGCCATTGAACTCATTTTCTCACTAAAAATATTCTAGTCAACTCCACATATTCTCCTCTCCTCACTTGTTTTTCCAAAAGCCTTCTAAAGATTTTGTCTTTGAAACCAACTTTCTTTTCATCTCCTGCTTTATCATCTTTGCTTTTGGGCTCAGTTTTTCTTTCTTAGTTTCATTTTTTTGTGAGGCTGCCTCACATGTAACCACTGCTGTGTCTGCCACTGAAAACACACACTGGTTGTGGAGGAATCTCCAAGTACAAACTGTTGAGAACTTTTATTTTCATTTTATTTCATGTTCAACAGCTTGGGGATCCCTTACTGATCCCTGACCATATCAGTGTCCAAAGAGATTGTACAAGCACTGCATCAGAGATAAGTTCAATGCTAATTTAGAGGCTCTGATTGTGTCCTCTAGATTCAGCTGCCACTCCCCACTGACCCATGTGTGAGCCAAAGGGAATAAAAGCTGGACAGGAAGGTGATCCAGCCCGTGCCATCATTTGTCCTCTGCTACACTGGGATGTCCAGGTGTAGAGGAACTCTGTGTGTCCTTCCCTTTATCACTGGGGAGCCAGCAAACAGAGAAAATACTGATTTATTTAAAAAGCCTTTCCCAGGCAGAGATTGGCAACTGAAGAAAACAAAACCCATGATCACTTCTGCATCCTTCAGTTAACCTCAAGAACAGATTCCTCATGTGGGATGCTGTTCAGGGAGCTGCACCAAAGAGGAGATTTCACTACAGAGCAATCCCACCAGTGGGACTGGCCCTTGGTCAGTGTTAAGCCTGAAGTTAGCATAAAACTGAAGAAAAGAGGGGTAAAAATGCAACCACACTGCAGTGATGAAGCTGCCAATGCCAGAGCAGTGGAATACATCCCTTTTAGGGATGGCTTCTTCCTTTTTAGGGATGGTTTCTTCCCTTTCAGGGATCATTTCTTCCTGAGCTCACCAATTCAGACATCCTGGCCTGGTGACCTTGCAGAGAAACACCATTTCCATTTAATAGATCCCCAGGATGTTCCCCAAGCTCCAGCCACCCCTTCTGCAGCACTCAGTGCTTGAAAAGCAGCTCAGGACCCCTGGCCTGTGCTGCAGATGAACCAGAGCTTGTTTTTAACCAGCACAGCAGCACTGCACATGGCTCTGTGATGCTCTGTGCTTCTCATTAGTGATGGTGAAACCAAATGCACCTTCTGGTGTGAGGGGAGGTGGAGGAAAGACAATGTTATTTCTGAATCAAATTCTTATTTTTGCCTTTTTATAATTAATTAAGAACACAGTCTCACTGGAGGCTGAAAAGCTTTGGCTGCAGTTTGCATGGACATACTGTATGTGTCTGCCTGTCCAAATATTTCACCCTTACATTTACAGTATCTGGGCCTATAAAAATGATGGCAAAAAGCCTATTGATTTCATCTGAACAGGAGCCAGAAGAAGCTGATTTTACCTGGACAGTGTTCTCTCACAGATGTGGCTCAGTAAGAACTCATGTTGTTGAATTCAACATAAAGCTATGAACGCACAATAAAAAAAAAAAAAAAATCACAGTTCTGAGTCTTTTATTTTCCTCTCTGCTTAATCAACAGGAACAGAGAGAAGATAACCTGTAATAAAAGATTTTTACCATTTCTCCTGCACTTCTTTGTTGAGATGAAACCACCTTTCACTCTGCAGGAGGGAGAGGGTAACACAGCACCCTATCACTATTAATGAGACATTTCCTTTGGTGATGCTTTCACCACACCACTTTTGTAACTCTTGAAACACAATCTGGACTGGAAAGCCTGGTGGAGTAGAAAGGTTGTTGTTCTGTAGGAAAGGAGAGTGAGGTACAATTTCAGCCCTGGGGTACCAGAGCTTATCTCAGGTGATACCAGCAGAGGAGATGTTGCTGTAATTTCCTCGAATGAAGTAATTGGCAGAGGCACATTAATTAATCACTGCAATAACAACCTGCAGTGTGTGCAGCCACAGGGAAGCTGTGAGTGTGAGAGGAGACAGACAAGAGCTCTCCAGTTCTGTCCTGGAAAATCCCAGAGGTCCCTGGGAGATTCTGGGTACTCCCACATCCCTCAGGAGGAGAATTTTCAGGGTTCCATGGAGGATCTCGTGCCCCAGTCAACCTCGTACATCAGGCTGAATGGGAACTCTCCTCAGAGTTCAGAGAGCTCTGAACATAAACTGGGGATGTCTTTTCCTCCTTTCCCTTAAAGAGAGTGGAAGGGCAGATCTGCCTGCGGATTCAAATCCAGAAATTTGGGCCTATCTGTGAATTCAATCCTTAGAACACGAAAAGTGCTCTGTTTAATGAGAAAGTGGACTCTGTTTGTATTCCAGCTCCCAAACCCCTGATTCCATCTAGACCACATTTCCCTCACAAAGAACCTTTCAAAATCAAAGAATTTCAAAAATCGCTGCTATGAGTGGTCTGAGAATCTGCATAGTAAAGAAGTCCCCAAATGATCTGTCCTCATTGCAGACTTGTTTGTGAGCTTGAATTTCTTCCTCCAGCAATGGGTCAATTTTCACATGCATACAAAAAGATCTTTTGTTTTCCCAAGTATGTGTGAATTTTGTGGAATTCTTTTAGGATACAGAAAAGCATATCTTTATTTTTAACGTCTAACGTAACAGAGCCAGTTGTTTTGAAAACATCCTCGCCTCTAACGTGTTCTTCATTAGGAGAATGTACTCCCAAACTGAAATCAGTACCAGTTTTCAGTAAACCATCCAGCATGTTCTTGCCTTGACACCTGTTGGCGCAAATGATGTAGTGAAATGTGAATTTGGAGGAATTATTTGTGTATATTTGAGAGGAGTTGTAACTGGGTAGTAATTCTGGCAACCTGCTCGTGCAGGCAGAGCTGCACAAAGACTGAACCCAGCCAAAGGGAGCACTGTGATTATTGCTGGGTCACTCTTGCAGGTCAGACTTACAAGTTGCAACCAAATGAAAGAAAGAAGTGTCAGACTGGCACAGAAATGTCACCAGGAGCAGCCCTGGGAGCAGTTAAGCCTAGGAAGGAAGTTTGCAGTGAAAGATGTTCTGTTGTTTGCTGGGATTTACATTTCCAGTGAAGATAAACCCCAGGAGGATTTTGGCCTGTGTGAGGTGTTTGCAAGCTGCTGAAAGCAGAATGGGGAACTTGCTCCACTAAGCAGATTTTAAACTCACCAAAAAATATCTTTGGAAGAGGACTCTGAGAGGTGTGCACTGATATTAGGGATGGTTGCATTACCTGGGCAATAATTAATTGGCAGTTGCCCTAATTGGATTCTTCTGAGCTCAGTTTGACCTTTATTCACTATCATTTTGCCCAGGATTTGCCGTGCAGAGTGACCAGTGAGCAGCTCCTCCCCTGGCCTGGTGTGCTGCCCCAGGGATGGGTAAGTAACTCTTATTCTTTCTGCAAACAGAGATCAACTGCTGGGAGCAGTTAAAGCCTTGAATGGAAAAGTCAGAAAACTGAGCAAACATTTCGCTGCTTTTATTTCATTTTTTGAGCACGGTGCCCTCCTGCCTTGAGTGAAAGCTCCTGTCTGGAGCAGGAGTGTGACAAGAGCTCTGCAGACCCTGGAGTGGCTGCTCTGCTTTGTGTGCCTCTGCTAAGTGAAGGATTTGTTGTTTCTTGCTGTTTCTCCTGTTCAGAGACTCTCAGACTCTGTTCATGTGCTGAGGGAACACTCTGTGATGTGCAGGCAGGTTCTGAGCTGTTTGTCTCGTGCCAGGAGGGCAGAGCTGGGGGGCACTGACCAGTCCCATACCTTGTTTTAATCTGTCACTGCTCTTTCCCAGCACATCTGGAAGACTCTTTTCTACATTTCAGTCAATATGCACTAAAATAAAACTTTATTGGTTTCTTGCCTGGTTTACATTTAAGGGGATGAGCTTGTGCTGGTTTATTTTAATACAGTATCAGCTCTAAAATGCTTTTTCCACTGGAAGACTCCAGCTTTTCTGGCTGTGCTGAAAGTAGCATTTGTTGTAAACCATAAACTCTACTTCAGACAACTTAATCTATTCAAAATGGGGCTGAAAAGGAAAAAGAGCACTACAGCAAACAAAGGCTTGTGTGTCCTTATTTAAGGATCCCATGGCTCTGAGAGATGAGTTTTGCCTTTGGAGCTCTCTAACACTTAAAGACATTTTTATTCCAGCTGTTTGCCCAGTCTGGAGCAGAGCTGGCTCACTTTTGCCTTGCCACTGAAAATGCATCTGAGCTCTATGAAAATGCACTTTGAATTTTGAATTTGTATTATTGTACCTGAGACAGGGAAGACACTTAAAGTTCATAAGGGAGCTGAGATCAAATCTAATCATCTGTGCACTGCAGACAATTGCATTTCCCATTTGTTAAATCCAATTGTTGGTGTTTCATTCAAGCATCTACTGAAGAGACTTCCTGCTTTGCCTTGTAGTGAAAAGGAGAATCAGTCAATTGTTTTATTTCTTCCAGAGGTTAATCACCTTCCCTTATAAAATGTTTGTGTCTGTTTTGTTGTTTCAGTTAATCTGTCTTCAGCCTTTTGCCACTTGTTCTTGGTCTGTCCTGCTGTGCTCAGCAGACACCAGTTCAGCCTCCAGTAAAATTCATCTTCTCTCCTTACCCCCAGCCTGGGTCCCAGTTACAGCCTGGTGTCCCACCCCAGCAGGTTTTAATTGGATAAAATTGTGAGTTGGATCTCCTCTACATCCCAGGTCAGTGATTCTCAGACCATTCCACCCCATTCACTGCAATTAAACCAGCAGCAAAAAGTGCTCAATTTGTGACTGACTCCTCCGTGCACCCGTGTAATAATCCTCAGATAAACTGATCATGAGATTGTACTGCTTAAAGCCAGTGTTTATCTTTCCAAGCACTTAAGGCATTAAGTGTCAGTATGAGAGGAAAATGAAATGTTGGCAGAGAGTTTTCAGAAACAAACATCAACTGGAATATTAAGAGGCTTGATGCAAGGAGCAGATTTATGGTTTCATCTGACAGGTTTGAGCTCTTAAATAAGGGAGATAAGGATAATAAATGTTGTGGCATATCTGATTTACAGTTCTGGTGTGAGATAAGCTGACTGCTCTATACAATCACCATTGAGAATCCCTATCAAATCACTATCCACATTAAACCAGTGAGAACCCAGAAGGGGGATTCTCCAGAAACTTTGTGTTTTAGAAGGAAGACACAGCCAGATGCAGGATGCTTCCTGGCAAACAGCTTAAAAGAGAAGGAAAGTGCTGGTTTAGGATTTAAAAACTATTTTTTTCATTTAGCCCAAAAAGTTTTTCATCAACCCTGTCATTCCAACTGAGCTAAAAGTGTTAGGGGGAAAAAAGGTGAATCATTCTCAAGCAGAACGTGGTGTCTGGTGACAGGCAGCTCGTGGATGTGGAAAACAGCTGCTTGTCTGGTAGTGCAGGGAATATTGACACACAGAGATATGGGCACTGGAACCCTCCCACTGCAAAACAGACAAGAGTCACTTGGCATCTAGAAAAGAGAACAGTGCTTCTCTTACTCTTACAAGGTATTTCTCATAGCCCACAGAATAATTTGTGACTTTTTAATAGGACTCTATTTTATGACCAAGTGTTATGGTTATTTTTTTAAAAAATACCAGGAATTTTTGCATAAAACTTTAGGGATTTTTGCAGGTTTCTTGCTCTCAAGAATTGCAAAAGCTTTCAGTTTTGTCTTGGTTTGTAACTGAGCAAAACTGAAACATTGTCATTTTAAGTTAAACACACTTCTGGTGCTCTTCCTTATGGTAACACACCCTTCACTGCTACATTCAAGGAGAGAGCTGGAAATTCACACTTGGCATGCTTTAAATCTTGTCTGAGCCCCGTATTCTGCAGTCAGACTTCATCTGACTTCCCTCACGTGGAACTTTTCCAGGAATCCCGGTGAGGAGGCAGCGTTTGCACCTCTGCTCCGGGCTGATCTCGCCACAGCCCCTTGGCTGCCAGCCTCGCCCTGCTCAGCACACCCCTGAGACCTCTCTGGTTCCTGCTTTTGGCAAAACGCTTCTTCCCACGAAAACCTCGGGATTAACTTCAGTGGGACAAGATTCAACTCTTATTACTTTTAAATCATGTCACCAATATACTTGCTGGAGCCTTGCCCCGGTGTAATAAAACCGAGTTTAAATTGCTGAAGGGCTCAGCTGCTGCCTCCAACAGCTGCATGGCTGTAATTTGCCAATAGGATGTATTACATCCTGATTACAGTTTCTTTTGAGTGATAGGCCAAAATTACAAGGCAGAAATGTGGCTAATCATGATAAAGGAGATAAGTCCATTCATCTCCTGCCCGTATTTCATATTTGCACAGCAGATGCTGTTTGTTCCCTTCAGCTGCCTTTCCACGGAAATTTGCTCTCATTCTGAAGAAGTCTTAAGGTTAATGAAAATCTTTATTGGACATTTTGATGGTGGAGAGAGGGAGAAAGGTGAAATATCTTGGAAGGTTTCTCTTTGTTTCCCAGCCCAGATAAACTTACACAAATCACCCAGCCCTTGAAAGTCAAGCAAAGTGAGCTTCTCCAGTCCAGAAATATGAACATCTGGGAAAGATGAAGAAAACAGGGATGAAGGCCTGAGTGGGCTGTGAATGTCATTTATTGCCCTCATTCCCACCAAGCCATACACAGGCTGCAATTAAACCTCCTCTGGTGGTTTGGCTCCCCGGGCCATAAAGCCAAGCCTGAGATCACAGAATCCCAAACTGGACTGAGGTTGAAAGGGACCTTAAAGCTCATCCAGTTCCTCCCCTCCCATGGGCAGGGACACCTCCCACTGTCCCTGGGTGCTCCAGGCCCCATCCAGCCTGGCCCTGGGCACTGCAGGGATCCAGGGGCAGCCACAGCTGAGAGCTGCAATAACACACTGCACACTTATGGACCAGAGAGCACCCGAAAGTGTGTGATTTGGGGCAGAGGAGATCTCATTTCATAGCTCAGTAAGAGATCCCCTTCCACAGGCCCTTGGCTCCAGGCTGGGGAAATCTGTGGGAGATCCCCCAGTCCCTGCTTCCAGCTCCCCCTGCTCTGTTGGAGATGCAGTGCCAGATGAGAGTGCCCAGATTTGGGCAAAGAAATGAGCCTGGAGCTGAGCTTACAGCCCCTGTCCTGCCTGGAGCTGAGCTTACAGCCCCTGTCCTGCCTGGAGCTGAGCTTACACCTTGAAACAATGTCCCTATTTGTGCCGTGTGGTGGAGCGCTAAACTGAGCTGAACTGAGACAAATTCTAATTTATGTTGTGCTCTTGTGATATGCCAAGTGCGAGATCCCAAACCACCACAAATAATTGATCTCAAGCTTTTGCTCTTTGAGTCCCAGCCTTTCTGCTGCTCCATTTTTGCCAATTGTTTCTCTCATTATTAATTGTAAGCACAGAAGGAGAATGCCTGCAAACACTGTGGGGTAAGGACTTTCCCAGCCAAGCAGGAGCAGACCCCAGAGATGAGTTTTAGGCTGCAGAACAGATTGTGAGTTACCCCAGGCTTATGCAGCCCCTGGGCCAGCTGAGCTGCTCCTACCACAAGTGAAAAGGCTCGACATATCACCAGTAAAGCCATTCTCCTGAGGGAAATGAAAACTATTCCCAATACTGAAGTATAATCAACAAAGCCGTTTAATGGCTAATTCAGGTTACTCCTCAGGAATGAGAAGTACAGAGAGAACTAAACATTTAATTCTGGAAACACTTCTTGTCCAAACTCTCCCAGGCATCACCCCCTGGGATGTGCATTCATCAGCTCGGGCTGGGTGTGTTTCCAGGACATTCTTTGTGACCAAGATAATCTTCTGTTTGACTGAGGCTCTGACAAGCAGGGACTTGATTAACTTGGCTGTTGCAGTGCTGGCAGAGGGACAGGACTGCACAAACAAGAACTCCCTGGTGGGTTTTCAGCACTGACCCAGTGAGGCCAGAGGCAGAGCAGCAGCAATGCTCCCGTGCATCTCCTCCCAGCCTTTCCCCACAAAGTTCCTCATGCCATCAGCAGGGTGGTATCCCTACATAGCCTGCCCTAAAAGATTAAATTGAGGCTGGAAAAAACCCAACCCCACTGATTCTCTGTTATTACTCTCATTCATTAGGCTACATTATTTTTTTTTCCCCCATAAGGATTTATCCTCATAGCACAAATCAGTAATTCCTACTCATTTTTCTCATGCGTTGCTCATGCAATGCTGCACTAGTGCCTGCAAACCTGATATTCCTGTGGTCAGCATGAGAATCCACGTGCCAGTACACCACAGAGGTTATTCAAAGAGGGAATATGGGGTTTTTCACCTTCTAAGAACTGGGTTAAGGATAACAAAGCAACCAGAACCAGGGTGATGCCTCCACTTCCTCCATCCCTGGACCCAGCGCTCCATTTGTCTTGCTGAGATGCCTTTGAAGGCTGAGAAGGCTGATTTGCCTCTGCTGAGCTCCCTCTTGAGCCCCCACCACAGCTGGTGCCGGTGAATTTCTTGTGATGGTGCTGCCAGGCTTCAAAACCAGGCTGAGATTTGCGCCACAGGGTGTCAAATTAAAGTTTATCACTGAGCCAGTAAGGCAAAGCCTCAGAGCATCACAGGCTCTCTGCAAAGCTCCTTCCCATTAGCTTTGCCTGTCCCTGCTGTCACTCCTGTAAAAAACAACTATTTCCCTTCTTTCAGGGCAAGGTTTAGGAAGTCCTGTCCAGAATTGTAATGCCCCGTGTAACCCTGTGCAGGAAGCTGCAAAACTTGTCTGAAAGCGTTGTTCTTGTTCCCAAATCTGTTCCTGACCTCTCTACACTTATTTTCCCTGCCTGTCGAATTCTCTTTGACCTAATTACAATTCCCACTTGGTATTTTGGCGCTGGAAATGGAGATGTAGAGCTGCTGAACAGAAAGTGTGTCAGGTGCACTGTGCTCACCTCTGCCTCTCGGAGCAGAGATGAGCAGACAAGGGCTGCAGGCACTGGGATCATTTTACATCTAAGCCAGTGCTTAATTCTCCTGACAGCCCCAAGATTGCAGGAGCTCAAAGCTTCACACCAAGGATTAAGAAACCTCCTAAATATGGGCTTGTTGCAGGGAAGGTAAATGAACAACAGAGTTGCTGAGTACTGTTCTTGAAAAACATTTATTTCTGTAATGGATTTATAGCGCTGACTGCCAAGCCCCAGAGTCTCTCCCAACATGTAATTCTGGGGACAGTCACCTTTGATGGAGAAACAAAAGCCATACAAAGAAGCCCCCACAAACAGTTTGGTGCCAAACTGAGCCCAGGTTCTCTCTGGGCCTCTGCTGATGAATATTTAACCCCAGCTGGGATGGAGCTGCCCTGCTCCATCCCTTGGTCCCAGCTGGAGAATGTTCACTGCCAAAGACCCCAAAGAACTGAAGATGTTGTGTTTAACTGCAAAATAACCTGGGGGGACATGGGCAGGGCAGGATTCAGCAGCTGCTATTTTTTTCAGACATCATTGAAAAAGGAAATCTATGCATTTCAGTTTCACCTCCTGAGCCCCAGCATTAGGAAAGTCAAATACAAACCCAGAGACCCACATACACAAAACAGTGACCAAGTGTCCAGACATTTCTAAGCCCCTCAGTTTACTGTGCTGTGATACCTCCAAAAAGCAACAAAACCCACTTTAGGATTGTGGTGGATCTTATTTTTAAGAGGGAGGGACAGAGATGCAGCACAGAGCATAGCAACTGTCAAGTGACGTTTAAGGCAAATTTATTCCCATTTATCAGGAGTCAAAGAAATTTTTTTTTGTTTGTTGGCTTTGTTGTCTAAGCTGTTAGATAACATCTCAGCTGGACATTTCTGCTTAGATGATTTAATCAAAGATTGAGGGAAGTCATCTCAAGCTGAGCCTAGAACAGCAAATAATGTTATTCCCAAGAATATCAGTCAGGACAGATTTTTCAAAAATTAAAATAATCGATGTTCAGAGCTCCCCCAAAACTTTCTTCCCTCAGAGACCAGGTTGAGCCCAAGTAAAACACACAGACATGAAGAAGGACACAGTGGCAAGCCTCTACAAACACAGGGCTGAATAGGACCAAAGCAGAGCCAAACCTAAATTCCACAGGTGCGAGAACACGGACAGAGTTATGAGTAAAAAAAGGGGGGAAAAAAAGAAAAACAGAGCCCCAGAGAGGAATGTTTCATGAGAGAGAGAATGAAAATAAAAGTCCACTGTATGCAAAAAAGGGAGTTCTTAGGTGCAGCCACAGAAAGCTGGGGAGTTCAGTTGCCTCATCTCTCAGGTGTGTTAGTTTGTTGTGCCTTTGCCCTCCCTTTGAGATCCAGGTGATGGTGCCAGGAGGTTCCTGCCTTTACTCAGTCTGTGCATCATAATTAGCCCCCCCTGCTTTCTTCAGCTCATTCTTGATGTAATCCTCATCCAGCTCTTTGTGGTCACTGATCACAAATTCTTTGGCAAAGTTCTGCAATAGATAAATAAAGAGACAGTTAAAAAAAGGGGGATATTTTCTACATAGCTGAATGAAGATGGGTTATCCAACTCCCCTGGGTGTCTGGATATGCTGATCTCCTGTGGCTGGGATGAGACAGAGGGCGAGTGAAGCAAAACCCAACACTTAACCTGGAAAAATGTTATGTATTTACTCCCAGAGCCACCGGCTGCAGGACCCAATGCAGGTGCAGAGGCTCTTCCTGGAGATGCACAGGCCAGGTTAGGTCAAGCTCCCTAAGCAGTATGTGAACTAAAACACCCCAAATTATTGACCTCCTGACCACCACTGACCCTCAGCATAATCTTGGGCAAGTCACTAATCCTCTCTGTGCCCTTTTTAGGGCCCCTTCTCCTAAAACCAGAGCAGCACAGTGTCACACCTGCTGGCTGTGAGGAGAGTGCCTCTCTGGGACACTGAGAGCACAGGGCTGCTGCCAGGAGCACACACAGTGCATTTAGTGCCTCCTCCCCTCATCTCCAGCTGTGGCCAAAGCCAGGACACTGCCCCAGACACTGCTGCTGCTGCCCACAGGCTCTGCCCCCGCTTTGTGACCTCTGAGGACACGCTGCTGAATGTGCTCAGGGCAGCTTTCTGCCTGCTGGAGAGCTCTCTGCAGCTCCTGGGAGCTGGGCAAGCCCTGGGCAGCGTGCTAGGATGTGAGGCTGTGAACACACAAAACCCTTCTGCCAGCAGGATGGGATCCCAGGGTGTCTTTAGGGCTCTTTTCAGAGCAGTGGCACCTCGGGGATTTTTTCCCTTGTGGGGGCTGTCCTTCCTGCCTCCCAGCAGGGCTGGCTCAGCATCCATGTGTGTGCACAGCCATTTCACAAACACGCTGCTTGCTTTAGCATTTTCCTCCCCTTCCTAACCACAGCTGAGAACACTGCAGGAGTCTCCCTTCCCCCAAACCCACAGAGCTTTAGCCAGCATGACAAGCACAAGCATCCATTGCTCTCCACCAAAAACATGAATTAAAATCCCAGCAGCTTTGCTTTGGTGTCTGGGGAAATCTGCGATGCCCGAGCCCCATGATGAGCAGAGAGTTCCCCAAAAGGTGATGGGGGAAGGAGGCACCGCTCTGGGAGAGCTGCAGGCACCTTGTGTGGGTTCCCTGGCACTGGGACAGCCCTGGCACAAGGGGAAGGGGGGCTCTCATTGGCTTCAGACTCTCAGCCACGGCATAGCTCTTTATCTGGCAGCGTCTCAAGGGTCTCTGTTTGGAGCCGGGTACAGGAGGGGGTGGAGGAGGATGCAGAGTGAAAGAGCCTCAGCACCTCTTTCATGTGCTGGGAGAAATGGAATGGAGAGGAAAAGAGCTCCTCCTCCCCCTGCTGTGGCTGCACAGCTCCAGGAGCCTGGTGTGCCCTGCTCTGGCTGATGGGCAGCTGCACAAAGCGCAGGGAATAACGAGCCTGACCCGCTGCTCGGCCTTCTGGCCGTGAGGACAGCACAGGCACTCAGCCACACCTTGGCAGAGTCCAGGGAAAATGGGAAATACTTCACTGCTTTTTAGAGAAAAACAAATCCTTTTTTTTTTTTTTTTTTTTTCTACTGAGATGGGAATAAAGAGGCAAACTGCCCAAACCATCAGATTTAGTCATGCTCACGAGTGTCCTACTTCCAGGTCTCCAGGGTGAGATCGCTGAAAAGCTCAGCTCTTGCTAAAACCAGCTCCAGGATTTTCAGCTGTTTGATGCTCACTGAGGTTTTGAGCTGAGCCCTTTCAATTCCTTTTCTCTGGTACCAGGTTTAACAAATTTGCCTCACCTTGGGAAGCAGATTATCCAGGACTACCTGATTTCAGGGTGAGTCTTTGCCCTGCTTTTGTGAGAACTGAGGCAGGTCCATAAAACCATTTCTGAGAGGGATTCCATGAAAAATGTATTTTATAAATGTGGGGAGGGCTTTCTTCAATGCCCACTCTGCAGAATCCAGCTGATTCTGAAATTAAAACTGCAAGTGCACTCGTGCCCAAACAGAGGAGAATTAATTACATGTGCCACAAAGTAAATATAATTACTCAGCCTTCTCAACTAGACACTTATCCAGATGACTCCTGGGTGATGATCTGTGGGCATCAGCCACGATTTCACATCAGCACCACCAAGACACCTTGCAAGGAATGAACAGTATCCCCCTAGCAGTGGCCAGATGGGTTCTGCTCCCAGCCACTCTTAAATATCCTCTTAGCTGACTGGGCCACCTCTTGTGCCAGATTTGTACCCTCAGAGTGCAATCTGGGTCACTGCTATTAATAACTGTGTTTTATTCCGTTCTCTCAGGGTGCTCCTCAGTTCCTGACAGCGGCTCTTACCCAGCACGGTGTCTCCTCAAGCCTGGCCCCAAGGAGGGAAGATGCTTTTGGTGAGTTTTGTGCCTGGAATTTCTGATTTTAACATCCTGCTTGACCTTCTCCAGCCACAGCCTCCCTCATCACTCTGAATTTACTGTCTGAGCTCTCTGGGGCTGAGCTTTTGTTCAGGGTGCAAATCCTGAGGCACAGTGCATAACTCTGGGCCCTTGATTTGCTGACATGTGTCTTCATCTTACATCCTCCACTTCCTTTTCCCTTCTCCTCCCCACAACCCCAGGCTTTCTACAACCACAGCAAGCCCTGCCAGTGAATTCTAGCCTTTGTCTTCACCCCAGTCACCAGCAGCCTCCAGATAACAAAAACAATGATGCCATTTATCTTTATCACTCTCACAGCACAACAGTGAGCACAGTCTCTTTGCTTTGCCTCTCAGATCAGTGAACAGGACACAGAAATGCTGAGGTTCACTCGTGGCTCTCCAGTGCACCTCTCTGGCACCAGCTCCTCTTTGTGCCCAAGCAGCAAAGGGTCACAAATTTGGAATTCCATCCCCCCTTGTCAACCATGCAGGAGCAAAGAAGGAGCCTGCATCCCTCCCTGGGAAGCATGAAATCTGTGCAGAAAGCTCGATCCTTCTCTTCCAGCCAGCTAAAAGAGGGGAAAAAAAGGGTGGAATAGATTTTCTTCCTCTTCCAAGCCCTGAATGTTTAGCATATGGGCCATAAAATTTCCCTAAATTGCCCAAGGGAAAATCTGTGTGGTGCAGATATTGTACCAAACTAGGTCTGCAGAGGCCCTTATAAATCCCAGCCAGGGAAGCCTGAAGCCAGGAGTAAAATCGTTGTGTAGTTTACAGACACTTGGGTTCTCAGCAGCTACAGATGGTGCCAGGTAGCTGAGCAGCTTCTTGCCATTTTTTATTTTATTTTGACTGGGCCTTGGAGCAGCTTCTGCTGATGTTCAGAACACTCAGTAAGTAAGTTCTGGTGTGCTTAATGTCAGCACTCCCATGGTGCCCCCATCCTCAGTGCAGATGCAGAACAGAAGAGATGACATCTCCCAGGTTTCTTTTCCAGCGTGGTCTGAGTCCCAGGCCTACAGCAAACCTGCTCCTGCTCTCAGCTGTCAGACTCCAAGCTCAGCAAAAACCCTCTCTTCAAACCTACTCCCTGCCAATTTTACATGGACCAGTTCCAGACACTGAGAGAAGCCAGTCCAAACCTCTGGCAAACACTTGTCTCAGCGCTGGGAGCTGCATTTCAGCTGCTCTGCAAATTCTCCCTGTCTGGGCTCCATCCCACTGGAAGAGTCACAAGTCTGTGTGTCAGACACAGGGTGATGAGGAGCTGCTGATTCTGACCCTCTTCTCTAGACTGGGAGTTCTTGTGAATCCAAATCCATTTGGTATGGTCATTAGAGTAAACCAGAACAGGAAAAACAGTCAAAAAGCAGAATTTAGTTTGCCTTCCCAGCAGGATCTCACTCACCCTCATGAGTAACTCTCAAAGCCACCGTGACATAGCTGCTCCCTGTGAGTTTGATTTCCTGACTGCCTCTAACAAAGCTATTAAACCTTCTGGTTTAATTTAGCTATTTAATCTTCTGGTCAGGACTCTGTACTGATAAAACCAAAGCACATACAGGGAATTTTGTGTGATCAGGGACCCCATCAGTGGGTGCTCCCTCCTGGAACCCATCATCAGTGCAGTGAGGAATCCAGAGGAAAAGGGAAAGGTGAGCAAAAAGAATGTCTGGGTGTGAGCTGCAAAGCAGGAACTCAGTAGAGCTGTTGACATCATGACAGCCAGATGAATTCCTCACCAAAAATAATGATGAATAAAATGCCTCGAATATTTGCTCACAGAAACAGAGCTGTTTTACCCTGAATATGAATTAGGGAAATAACAGAGCACATGACTTTGTGGGGGAAGGAGTGCTGATGAGAACAGAAAAGAGTAAAAATCCATGGAAAATCAGACAAACTGGCAAAGGCTGGGCAGTCCCTTTGCTGGGAGAGTCCTGCAGGATATGAGTTCAGTCCTGTCAGGAAAAAGACCCCTGCCTAAGGAAGAGTTAAAATCTCCTGGTAGGAAATGCAGCCACGAAGGGCACGGAGTTCACAGAGAGGAAGGAACACTCAGAGGAAAACCATCTCCTGTTTCCAGTTCCTTGGTGTTTACATCAAAACCATCCCATTTCAGCACTCCCTGTGCCTGGGCTCATCCTGTGGGCTCTGGTGACCAAAGTGCCATGGGGTGGCTCTGTGTACACATCTGCCAGGTCACCCTGGGCACAAGGTGACACACGGCTCCTGCTGCTGCCAAACAGATGCAGCCCAGCAGAAGTCACTGTTCCATAAATTCCCACTTGTTTAGATTTTTCTAGGGGTAGGTTTAGGCTCCACCCCAGAAATGATCTCCCAAACATCTTAAACAACCGCCAGCAATGGGAAATATTGTGCCTCTTCTTCCCCCATTAGATCTGTCCTTGGCATGGAGAGAAGCCCAGTGGATAAAAGATGGAATTGTGCATCCCCCCACTCCCTGTCTCCATTTGCACAGCAGTCTCACACAGCAGGCCTTAGCCAGACCCTTAAGAAGACACAGATAAATACTTGTTCCCCATCCTGGCCTTACTTCTAATCTGCTCCCAGCTGAACTGCTTGGACCAGGCTGCAGGCTTGAGCCAAGATTTCCAGCTGAGTTAAGGAGGAAAGGATGGAAAAATAAATGGATGTGGGGAAAAAAAATTAAAAATGCTCCTGATAGTTCCTTAAATGGATTTTTGTACAATCCAAAAGAAATACAATAAACCCAAAACCCATTTTCCAACAACATTAAAGAGGTAATAAGCATAGGTCCACATGGGGCCAGAAGACCTGGCTCTCATCTGGCAGAGATCAGAAAACTACAGCTATTTGTAGCAGATGAGATCCATCCCTGTCATTTTACAGTTATTACAGCTAAAAATCAATTGTCCTTTCTTCCTGAGAGGTTTTCTGGCAACCTCCTGCACTCGCTATCAGCACTGCTTCCCAAGCCACCTCCCCACGGATTTCACAGCACCTGCTCCCCCTTCCAAGGGAGGAACACAAAAGCCAGGGCAGCCCAGTTCCTCTCTCTGCTTCCTAATAGTTCATCCCTTTGCTCATAATCCACTCCTCACCAGTTAATGTCCCTTGTGTTTTCCTCATGGCAGGTGCTCCTGGGAGCCCATTAAGGATCCTTGAGTGGGATCCCCTTTATCCCAGGGCTGGCAGGAGGTGCCTGGGCTGGCTGGCTTTCACTTTGTCCCACAGGAGCAGCAGCATTTCATGGTGTTTGTTCAGCTCTGAGAGCTCAGCCCCAGCTCACCAGCACAGCACAGGACATAAAGCAGGCATGCCCTTCACACTTTGGTCTTAAATAAAGACCCACAGCTGCTTTGGCAGATGGAACAAGATGGTGAGAGCCCCTAAGGTTTTACTGAGGGCTCTCAGGGTGAGGAGCTGCTCTTCTGGAATCCCAGCCTGTTCCTTGTGTGGATCAGAGCTGTACAAAAAGCCTCCTTGTGCCACCCTTCCACAGGGTCCAGCTGCACAGAGCCCAGCCACACCTCCATCCTGCTCAGGGACCAAAAGCCTCCCTCCTTAGGGAGGTTTGTTTTTTTTTTTTTTTATTCCAAATGATGAACCAGCACTGACTCAGATTTGTAGTTTATCATTACAGAAAAAAAACCCCAAGCATATTTATGTATAACTAAGTACAAGTCACATCTCAAATAATCTCTGTAAAAAACATAAGATTGAGAATGTGCCTGAAGGTCAAGGGAGCTACTAAAAGCAATTTCACTAAGTATTTCCCTAAGAGTGAAATAGCTCTGGGATAAATTCCCTCCATTAGATTTCAGTTGGATTTTCTTGTCCTTGTTTATTTTGACAGATTATCTGCAAGGTCACAGGCATAAAAAGAAGAAAACAGTTCTGCTTTTATCTCACTCCACTCAGAGGGATTCAGTTGCATATCAAGAACAACTCAAAGTACTTGTCAAGAGAATTTCTTCTGGACAGGAGATCACCATTGCTGTGACGTTCAGAAATGCTTTGCAGGGGTTTATGGACAAGGTTGCTCAGTAAAAGTGCATCAAGCACCAGTTGTATTGGTTTTTATTTTAGTACAGACTAATTGGAATATGAAAGCTTTCAAGTAACAGCCAAGAATGGTTAATGCTCCACCAGATTATTAACTTGTACAGACTACTAATCAAAGATGAAGCAAGTGAAATTGCAAATTATATGTAACAGACCTAGGGACAGATCTGAGCACAGTGCTCAGGAATGCTATTCAGCTCAACAGGAATACATTGTCTAAACCGATTTTAAAGAAAATCTTGGGCTTAGTGACTCACATAAGAGTCATTCTTTAGTACTCTATAATTTTGTCTTCAGCTACAATTACGGTTTCAGCTGCTTCCCATGAGCAGAAACTTGCTTTCCTATCTCTCAGGTGTCATTCTGGAAGTTTCTTTGGAGAACAGACCCCTCTGAGTCATCATTCTGAAAGATAAACCAGAGTTTATCTTCTGGAAGGATAGGAATGTGTTGTCTTCTTCATTCTTCTTATCAAAATGTAATCTTCTGTATCATGTAAACTACCAAAGAGTTGAGGGGGGCTTCATTCTCACCCTTCACAGTGTCCTGCTGGGAGATTTCTTTACATAGGCAAGAGCTCAGTTATTGGGGGAGATGAATTTAATCATCAGCCTGTCCTCCAAGAGCATAAACAAAACCATTTCCAAGGCTCTGGTGAGCTCTATGTTCCATTGGAAGAGAAAATCCTGCTTTAAATACTTCTCCAGAAGAAACATCCCATGCATCACCCTTCTCTCCATCACAGCCAGGTTTCAGCTCTGGTTCTGTGCAGCCTCCCTGGAGTCACTTCTCTGCTGGCTGTTGTTTGTTCTCACTTGGACTGAGCACATTTCTCTTTCCCCTGCTACACCCAAGGCCAAACAAAGCCTGTTCACATCTAGTTAGCCATTAAGAGTTAGTTAATTGGTACGATAGGGACTTCAGACTTTGGGTGATTAACTCCACAAATTCACTGGGCAAAGACAAAAGGCCTCCAGAGAAGTTTAAACAAGGGTGTGGGTTTTCCTGTTTAATTTTACCTGCTTAATACTGCTCATGATCATTCAGTGTGGGATTGTTTCCATATGAAGGAAGGGGATGTGAGACATCTCAGGGGTAACGAGGAGGGGAGTGCATAAATTCCCTCCTCATGAAATGGCTAAGGCAGCCTTGAGCTCAAAAGGTGCTTCTTTATGCCTGAGTGCTCCAAGGGCAGATGTTAAGCCTTCCCAGGAGGAAGGCAGGCAATAGGAAACTGTCTTCTTTTCCAAAGGATTAACTCCTAAGTTGGAGGATGAGCCAATCCTTCCCTCTCCCTCCCTCCTGCTGGTGTTTGTGCAGAAACAGCGATGGGAGCTGCTGGGTAGGAGCATAAGGAAGAGGTTACCTGTACTACTTCCTTGACCAGAGTCTTGTCAGTCCCAGTCTTGGCTCTCTGCAGGCCACTGACATCCTCTCCAATCCAGGTGATGAGGGCAAACTTGACTCTCTTGCTCATGGCATCGCCGGTGGTGAATCGGACAAAGCCGAACAATCGCACATCGTCTGCGGAGGCAGAAAGGGACAAAGGGATTAAAACCAGGAGCATCCCTGCCTTCCCCTTTTCCAGGGGGAGCCTATTGCTGCCAAACACCAAGGCAAGGCACTGATGCCGTGTTTCAGTGCCAGCATTTGGGAATCAGGGGGCAGTACAGGGCTCTGCTCACGCACCCTGTGCTAGCAAGGTGTGCTTTGCCTGTGTTAGCCTCCCCTGGGTTCTCTGAGTTGCTGGGAGGAAACTGGCTGTGCTGGACACCCCACATCACAGTGGAAATGGCTAAAATACAGTCAGCAGGCAGGTCAAGAGCACAGAGCTAACCCCAGTTACACATTCAGCCAAATGATTCATCTGTAGGTCTGCGGAAGAAGGGAGGAAAGTGATACCCTGGTGTCTCCTACAGAATAGCAGGATTAGGGACACATTTTATAACATTACCAGAAACTGGCCATTGTGCAAATCTGATCTTTCTCCCTCCTTCCATCCATTTCTGGCTCACTTGTAGTATGAGTTTACAAGAAGGAAGGGAGGAAAAGGAGGAAAAGAAAAATCTGCAATTACTTGCCCAGGTGTGTTTTTCTACTCCTTCCAAAGCCCTGGAGGGAAAAGTCCTGGATTTTAGAACTGTGCTGATCTTTGTTTCACAGCAGGTTTGTGCTGCATCACACCAGACTAATTCAGCCTGGCCATATGTGTGACAGCCTTGTAGACTCTTATCTCAGAGAGCTCCTTCCTCCATCTCCTGGTGACTCACAGAGCAGGGCTGGAAGCCTTCCTGATCAGGAGCACCGTCCCCCTGCATCCCCAGGCTCCAAGGGATGCTGGAGCCTCCCAGCAGGAGGGGCAGAAATAAGAGCAGATGGACACTTATGCAATTGTGGAATATTCCTAATCATCCTAATCAATTCTTCATCTCTCAGAGGTCGCTCGAGGCCCTTGAAGGGAGGTGACTCAAACCAGAAGAACAAACCTGCTGTCTGAGCAGACTCCTGGTAATCCTGGCACACTTGTTGTGACCAGTTCAACGTGCCTCAGAGGGATTTGCTGGGTTGATTAATTGCCAGGTGAAAACGTGGGCTCCAGGTGTAGGAATGGCTGCCAACATCCCCAGCACGCTCCACGAGCAGCCAGGACAGCCCCAAGAGCTCTGGAGACAGGGGAGAAGCAGCTCTAAATTGATCATCCCCAGAAAATAAGCCACTAGAAATCTGTGTTGAAAAAAAAAATAAAATTGGGATATTCTCCACAAGCTGATGTATCTCAGAGCTTCTTTAACACTTTGATTTGCCAAAGTGTAGACAAAGACAAATTCCCCTTGGTAAAAGAGAAAACTTTTTTAAATCTGAGGAAAAAATCTGCCTCTGCTCTCCCTGTTTTGTTCATCCTGATCTTTTTTATTTTTTGGTCACTGACTGAGTAATACTGGGCAAACTGGAAAATGGATGTAGGGAGGTGTGTGAGCCAGTACAGTGTCCAGAACAAAATCCTCTGAAGATTTCAAAGTTGAAACAAAGAGGAAGATCTTATTCAGAGGGAAAATCCAGATGGATCTTTGGAAGGAGAGAAAGAGTCATGTATCAACAATGCAGGCAAACAAAACTTCTCTCTCTCCCTGCTACTGTAAGTGTAAGAAATGCACGTGGAGACTCCTGATTCTGACAGTAAATCCTCTTCCCAAGATTGATTAGAACCATAAACGAAGCGACAGCCAGGAAATACCCAAGGTGAAGTGAGACAGTAAATCCCCTAATGTTACAATTAACAGATCCAGGAGCAAGCCTTGCTTCCCCAGCTCTGACAGCAAAGGAGGCCATGCTCTGCCCAGAATTGCTCTGTGAAAATTGCTCTGTGCTCACAGAAAATCCTCTGGGAACAGTCTGGGAAGGCCCTTTAATGTCATGGAGTGCTCCTGCACTGCAATGGTGTCTCTGCCCTTCCCACAGAGCCCTGGGTCCCACCTTGAGCCTGCAGGATTTCATCCCTGCCCCTTGTAACAAAGGCTGTCACAGAGCCATGGGATATAAATATATACATATATACACTGGGATGCAAACCTGTCATCTGGGTATATAATAATATACACAGATTATAAATATCTTTATAATAAAGATAATAGAAAAAGATAATTAATATGAAAAACATTGCTTTTTCATAGCAGCACAGAGAGGAAGTTCCAGGGATGCCCCATGCCTGGAAGTGTCCAAGGCAAGGTTGGATGGGGCTTGGAGCAACCTGGGACAGTGGAAGGTGTCCCTGCCCATGGCAGGGGGAGTGGAACAAAATGATCTTTGAGGCCCCTTCCAGCACAAACCATTCTGGGATTCTGTGAATTTCTCTGTCAGAATAATTTCAGCTTTACATGAACCCACAGCTCACTGGCAGCAGGATTTGCTTCTCAGCAGAACTTCCAGTGCTGGCCCATCCTGGTTAAAGCAGCTCTGTGACACTAAAGAGAGCCAAATCCAGCAATTCCAGCTTTTATCCATGAGATCACCTGAGCATGAACAACTCTTACTTCATCGTGTTGAGTTCCAGTGAGTTTAATGAGCACCTGAGTTTGGTCTGGGGCTCTGAGTCACCTCTTGGGCAGACCTTTCCTGGGGCTGCTCCACTTGTGGGGGCTTGAAGGGGTCCCACCCCAGCTGGGTCCTGTCTCCTCCTGTCTCCCCATGGAGTTTTTATCCCTCCTGGAGGCAGAGCAGGCTCTTCAGCTGCCACAGCTCTCAACCCAGGCTGTTTGGCACGAATGTGATGCCTCAGCTTGCTGTGCCGTGTGTGAATGGCGCTGCACACAAAGCTGAATCGCAGCCCTGAGCAATTAACATCTCTCTGTTCCTAAAAGGGCATCAGGGACGGATGGAGAGGTTTTCAGCTCAGCCTGGGTATAAGCCTCTCCAACTGCAGGTCAAAATCCCCGAGCAGAAGTGGCTGGGTTTCACAATTAGTCTGAAGCGTGTTCGGAGTGATAAGGGGATCAAAACGCAAGTTCTTTCCTACTCCCAGATTTCCTCTTTCACAGTTAATCAGTTCTGCCCTGCCAGATCAACTCCCCACGCTGGAAGTCATCAATGCCATCAGTGCCAATTCCCTGAGAAATCTCAAGGCATTACCATCCACCACCCCCTCCTCACACAAAACCCCTCCTGGTGGATTTAGGAGCTTGCTGGGAGTGAGGGGAGCAGAACAAATCAGGGAGAGGCAGAGTAGATTCCCCTAAATCCTGCCCAGGGCTGTGCAACCCCTTTCCCAGCCACTGAGACATGAATTTCAGGGCAGAGAGAAGTGAATAACTGACCTGGGGAGAATGGAAATAGCAGCTTTGAGACTGCACAAGATGCAAACAGCAGAAATTAACAATGTTAATTCAATTAATACCACGACTCCTTTCACAATGGCTGGACAAACAATGAGCAGCTCAATGAACGCCTTAACGAGCATCACTTGGTATTTCTCTCCAAACTCTTTGTTTATCACTAAGGCAGGATT